TGTCTCCACTCTAATTCACACCCTCAAAATTTACTGCAGAATAAGCTTAGGAAAACTTAAGTATATTTAGTTACTTCCAATTTTGGTCAATGTTCCCTTAGAAAGGAACTCTAAAATGTAGGGTAAATGTTGAGGTTTATTTTAAATTTTGTTACGTTCTTACTTTAATAAACCAACTCTTGTTTCATGTCTAAGAACTGTGACAAATAAAGAACATATTCAGTCACAACATTCTGTAAAGCTTTGTGTAAAAGAAATAAAGAGCTTGAAGAAAAAACTTCTATAAATCATCCTTGTCATGAAAATTTACCAAGTGTCTTTTGGTTGGAAGCATGACGTTTGCTATGAATAACTAAAGAAGGATTTTTGTGGTGGCAGATGTTACTCATGGGTTGGCAAAAGCATTAACTAAACAAGGTAGCAAAGATGTAACAGTTTATTAGGATGCTGTTGAGAGACAGCTGAGGCACAAGAGAGGACTGGTGACCCAAGATTAGGATTAGGAAGGGCCTCTATAGAAGTAATAGACTACATGGAAATATTTGGTAGATTAGTTCTTCCTTATGGTTTCGAAACCAGAGTTCTAATACTCCAGGCACAAACTGCTAAAGTTCCCCGTGCAAGGTCTGGCCAGTCCTCTATGCATTAAATAAAGGGATATACAGGGTAAAAGAAGGAGATTGGTTACATAGCATGCAAAAGATAGGAAGACAGAATTTAACCCATCTTTAGTAGTCTTCAGGGTACTGACAGTAGATCTAGGTTTAAATAGACAAAGAACTGTGATTAGGGAAAGAACTATGCATAATATTTAAGTGTTTCTAGTCACTGCTGTTGGTCCATTATCTCTGTGCTTGTTTCCTAAGGCCTTGCAGAGGAGTAGGTATCACTTTATCACTTGATGGGAGTGAACTATTCTTAGGTGCTTGGTGGTTGATCTATTTGAAATTCTAATGTTGGGGAAGATTTCCTTTTTGAAAACTGTATGTTATTGTAAAGATGATGTACAGAGGGGTTACAGTTACATAAGTAATGAGTACATTTCTTTTTAAAAAACAAAGGTGAGTATTTTATCAGCAATCCCACAGTTGTTAAATTTAAAACTGCAGTAATAAATAACTTTAGATGATTGATTCAAAGATACAAACTATCAAATCTATGTAAGGAAGAAAGAGGCAATCAAATTGAATCTATATATATTAGTTAACTTACATTTAAATACATTACAATCAAGAGAACCCATGGTATTGATGAACTTGTTACTGATTCTAAAACTTTGAAGGTCATTTTGATTCTTCAAAAATTTTCTTTAGAAATTGAAGAAATAATATTTGCCCACATAAAATTTATTTTTTTATTGTAAGGGTGATGTACAGAGGAGTTACAGTTACATATGTAAGGTAATGAGTACATTTCTTATTGAACACTGTTATCCCCTTCCTCATTTTCTCCCACTTTCCCTTCCCTCTACTTCCCTCTCCACCCTAAGTTGTAAAGTTTGTTTCCAAAATGTCTTGTGAGTATTACTATTACATTGGCTCATCCTTTGTCCTTTGTCTCACCACTTTGTTCTTCCCCTTCCCTTCCCCAAATCAGATATACATTTATATAAGACACAAAGTACCAACATAAAAAACAGTGACAAAATGGAATAAACCAAGGGATAAATGAAGGAAAAGAAGAAATAACTTCACACAGTACAATAAAATAGAAAATTCTAAACAAAACCTAAAAACACTTGTTTCCATATGTTGGAGTTCATTTCAATTAGCATCATTTGATATGGTCATAAGATTAGTACATTTCTTTTTGAGCAGTTTTACCTCCTTCCTCATTTTCTCCTGCTTTCCCTTCCCCTACTGTCTCATACCCCCAAGTTGTAAAGTTAATTGTCAATATAGTGTCTATATCATTGTAGCATTGGTTCATTCTTTGTCCAAATGTTCCTGGGATTCCTCTACCCTTCCCCAAAACAGATAAACTGTATTCATGACAAAGGGCAACAAAAATCAGAAATCATGAACATACAGAATAAATCAGAGAGGAAAAAAGCAAAACAAAAGAAATAACTGCAAACAGTACACTTTAAAAAATGAAAGAAAAAGAAAACAACAATAGCAACAAAAAAATTAACCCTCCTTGTGGCCAAATCGTGAAGAACTTTTTTTTTTTGTTTTCTTTTTTTTATTGTGAAAATCCCGTACAGAGGAGTTACAATTACATGGGAAGATAATAAGCATTTTGTTTATCATCATTTTATAAGGTCATATATACAGAGATATTGGGCTATTGTGAACCTCTACTAGGACTATCCTGGGCATATACTACTTATTACGGATGAGGAAAACCATGAGCCTATGTTTCTTTGGTTCTGTCTTACTTCACTTAATATAATTTTTCCAAGTCTTTCCATTTGCTTACGAATGGGACAATTTCATACTTTCTCATGGAAGCACAGAATTCCGTGTGTGTGTGAGTGTGTGTGTGTGTGTGTGTGTGTATCACATTTTCTTGATCCATTTATCTAATAAGGAACATCTGGGTTGGTTCTATATCTTAGCTATACTAAATAATGCTGCAGTGAACATAGTTGTGCTGGTATCTTTAGTGTGGATAAATGTCCAGGAGTGGGATTGCTGGGTTATAGGGGAGCTCTATGTTTAATCTTTTGAGGAACCTCTATATTGCTTTCCTGCATGGTTGTCTAAACTTGCCTTGCCTTGGCAAGACTCCTTATTTCACTCCTAAAAATGAAGTCTTTTTCTCAGCTCTTGTGGTTGTTAGTGCTCTGGATCCCTGGTAAGGGCAAAGGAAGATGAGGAATGAGAGTGAGATGGAAGGGTGAGCTCTCAGGCCCCTTTGTGCCCTATCCATGTGCTAGATGTGCAGATCTTATCATGATGGGCAAGTGACATTTAGGTCTGGGAAAATAAGGAAGTTTCCAAAAAGAGCTTGATCCTTTGTTTGGCTGAAGACTCTGATAGGTGGGAATACCACTGGTGACACCTAGAGACACATTTATGCTTTAAAAATGTCTCATTTTTACAAATACTTAGTATTTTAGATTCTGGTTTAAATCATGAAATATGAGTAATAGGCAAATATATATCAAATTAGATGAAATAAATGTATATGCCCCTATACTTGTACATAACCTTGCACTTCTAACTTATTCTAATTTCAGGATGCAGTAGAGATATTGTGTTGACCCAGACTCCAATCTCCCTGACTGCCACACTGGGAGAGTAGGCCTCCATCTCCTACAGGGCTAGTCAGAGCCTCCTAGAGAGTGATGATGCTTATCTGGCATGGTATCTGCAGAACTTTGGCCAGTCTCCCCAACTCCTTATCTATGGAGTTTCCAACTGAGCATCTAGTATCCCAGTCAGATTCAGTGGCAATGGGTCAGATACAGATTTCACACTGAAAATCAGCAGGGTGGAGCCTGGGGATGTTGGAGTTTATTACTGCTTTCAAGATACACATTTTCTTCCCACAGTGATACAGCCCTGAACTAAAACCTCCCATCTGACTGGGTGAGTTACTTTCATGGGTTACTTGTCCAGGGGCACAGCAGAACAGATTGAGTGTGCGTAGGACATTCATACAATGGTCAATGTGAGAGTGACTCTGAGAGTAGAAGAGTATGTGGCTACCTACAATTTACAAATACCAAGAAAATAATCATGGAAGAACAAATCCAGGAGACTTAGATCAACCATGGGGTATTAATTGAAAATATTCCTTGTGTCTAAAGTAGCATTATGGCTAGCTAGCAATATAAAGAATCAAATGTCTGCTGCAATGTAAGTTTGTTGCCTTTGTAATAAAAATTATAGTAATTCCATCAAGCACACCATCTTGGTCCATACCTATAGCATATGCTTCAGTTTCTATTCAGAATCTGGAAGCCCAGTTATGCATTTTCTAGCTGCTCTCTGTGTTTCCCAAGTCTTTCCTGACCATCAAACTATTAGCAGAGTTTGATAACTGTCCTTTGGCTGTATCAACCTGGAACAGCTACAGTACTGGACTTTGTACAGTGGTCCCTGGCCTTCTGTATCCTGGTACTCTGGTACTTTAAAAGGGAGAGTCTGGAGAAACCCTGTAATAGTGTTCATAGGTTCCAGAGAGTCTGAGATTGAGCTCTTGTTCAATGGACATAGCATTCACTGCCCTACCTGGTCAGCCTTTGTGATTTTATTTGAAAAACTATGGCATGAGGGAATCATCAATGTATTAGTTTGTCTTTTATCTACTTTGATCACATTAAATAATGTCATTTTCTTGTAATGAGCCTTTCAGAAGCTTGGACTATGATACCGCACAGCCGAGGACTCGAGGATTGTCTGGCCTCCACCAGTGTCCAGTGTGCATCTGCCTCCGGTGGTGTAAACTGTTTTACTGTGATGCTCTCAAAGCCATCACTGAAACTAAAGGATGAATTTGGAGATACTATGATGCCACTGAGATAGCATAAATAGGAGAAATATGATCTGCAATGTGTGTGAACTAAAGGAATAATTCATGCAACTTATGGAAATTTCTAACAAATTGTATCCACAATTGTATTATTCTGCACAAGATTAGTATCACAGGTAGAGAGATTGTTTTTACTCCTCAGTTAGCCCATTTTAGATTGTTTCTATTTGAACCATCACTCTCTCTCTCTCTCCCTCCCTCTCTCTTACACACACACACACACACACACACACACACCAGTATCAGTTCATTTCTTTTCTTTTCTTTCCTTTTTTGCCAGTCCTGGGCCTGAATTCAGGACCTGGGCACTGTCCCTGAGCTTCTTGGCTCAAGGATAGTGCTCTACCACTTGAGCTGTAGCACCACTTGTGGCTTTTTTTTCCCCTGTGGATGTGGTACTGAGAAATTGAACCCAGGGCTTCATACATGCTAGGCAAACACTCTACACTAAGCCACATTTCCAGCCTTTTCTATAACAAAGCTAAGCTCTGAATAAAGAAGAGTTTTGTTTAACTCACAGTTTTAGATGCAGAAAGCCCTAGATGTAATATTCTCATCAGTGTTCTCATCAGGTGATGGCTGTCTTGTCTGTGGGAAAATATGGTGTGTCTATAAAAAGAGAACTCGCTGCAAGTTGAAGTGGTCAAGCATATGATTGTCTTCCTTTTATCACAAACAACTACTGTTGAGCCTACTCTCACTTCAGGAGAGCAACTTTAATCCTCCAGAGTTCAGGAACTCCCCTGATGTAATCACATCCTGCAAGACACCTTTTCCAATGGCCAAGTGGAGACCCTTGGGACATCAGTACAAGCCTCCTTCTCCAGATGCTCCCGCTTCCCAGGTGATGCGCTGCCTCAGATAGGCCAGCATCATTGGAGACAAGAAGAAGACAATGAAAACTCTGAGATAATTATGCAAATATTGGTTAAATTAGATTGAGACTAGAGACATTAAGATGTTAAATACTAATTTAAGTTAATCATAAATTATATGTGTATGATTATGCATCAGAAGTTACACAAAGGGGTTTTACCTCAGCATGTCAGTGTTTGAGTGCAATGCATCTTGATCAATTTCACCCTTCCATTACTTTCTAGAGGGAACATTCAATAAACCCTTTAATTAATTTGCTGTACAAATATAGTGAAGAACAATGAAAGGATATTTAGTGGATTTTAAAAATTGTTACATTTAATATACATATTCCCATTCTCTGATATAAATATTCTACCATTTTACTTTTCCCTTATAAGTTCCAATATCTGTATTATTAGTTCACTATCTATAAGAGAAAATTGTGTTCTCTTTGACATTTCTTTACTCTAAGTCTTAATAGGAAGTTCTTTGGAAACAGAATTTCTAACAATTGTAGATATTATCCTTGCTTCTTCTTATCCGTCAACACTGTGCTCATATTTTGGTCAATTCCCTGAGGATCAGAGCTGCTGACAGTGTGCACTATGTCTTTCTCTAGACTAGCTGAGGGAAGTCAGCAGACCCGGGCCCAGTGTCCATTCTTTCCAAAAGACTGTCCTGGACTTAAACATACATATAGTATGGTGGTAGGAACATGTACACTCTCTGGAACCTGCAGTTCCAGACTTTCAAAGTGGGTCCCTCCTAGTACCACAGGTATCATGGATTTTTATTGATTATCATCAAACTCAGAACACACTTGACACTTTTCTCAGAAGAGCAGGCTTTACCTTTCCTTTTTCTTTTCTCACACTGCTGCACCCACCTGGTTATTTGCATATTGCTCTCTAAAGAGGACCTTCCTTTCTAAATCTGAGATAAAGACTCAGCTCTGAACTTGCCTTGGCCTGTCAAGACTCCACATTTTACTCCAAAAATGAAGTCCTTGTCTCAGCTCCTGTGGTTGTTAATGCTCTGGATCCCTGGTAAGGACAAAGGGAGATGAGGAATGAGAGAGGGCAGAAGGGAGAGCTCTCAGGGCCCAGTTGTGCCTTATCCATGTGTTAGATGTTCATGATAGGACAAATAATGTGTAGGTCTGAGAGAGTGAGAAACATTCCAGAATGAGTACCAGTGCTTGGGTAAAGACTGCTAGGAAGGAATACTGTCATTGACTTCTACAGACACTTTTGTGCATCAAAAATATATCTTTTTAATATTTAGTATTTTGAGTTTATAAATCAAATCATGACTATGAATAAGAAGCAATATTTACCTAAATAATAGTAATAAGCACATGGTTCTCTATGATTATATATAACCTTGCACTTCTGTTATTCTAATTTCAGGTTCCAGTGGAGATGTTGTGATGACCCAGACTCCGAGTTCCCTACCTGTCACCCTGGGGCAGCTGGCTTCCATCTCCTGCAGGTCCAGTCAGAGTCTCCTGCATAGTAATGGAAACACCTATTTGGAATGGTACCTGCAGAAGCCAGGCCAATCTCCACATCTCCTGATCTATTTGGTTTCCAAACGAGCATCTGGGGTCCCAGACAGATTCAGTGGCAGTGGGTCAGGCACAGATTTCACACTGACAATCAGCAGGGTGGAAGCTGGGGATGTTGGAGTTTATTACTGTTTTCAAGGTACACATGTTCCTCCCACAGTGATACAGCCTTGAACAAAAACCTCCCATCTGGCTGGGTGAGCCGCCCTCATGGCTGGCTGGTCTGGGGAGCAGCCCAGCAGATTGTGTGAGTCTGCCTAGGAGGAAGATGTTGAGATCAATGTAAGAGTGACTCTGAGTGGAAATGCAATCAAGAAATTTAAATTATAGACCACAAAATTAAGAAAGAAAGGGTCAGAGTGGGTAAGGGGATTGGGGAAAACATTGAAAGGGGTGACATTGACCAAGATACATAATATTCATATATGGCTTTGTTAAATGGCAACTCCTTTGTACAACTACCAAAAGATCATTTAGAAAACTAGATGTGGCACTAAAAGTTTTCACTCTCTCTATGTTAGGAAGCACTAGCCTCTGTGTATTTATCTATACAGTCGACTGATCTATGATGCATTTTTACACTTTCATTCCATAAATATACATTTAATTCGTATTTCTATAAAACAAAGAAATTGTACTCTAGGTTTTATTTACAACACCAAATCAGAGTTCATTCCACTATTTTCCCTTTTTTATTTCTGTGATACTTTTGCCACAGTGAAAATTTTGTTTCTAATTATATTTGCTGAATTTCTTTTTTTTTTTTTTTTTGGGTCCAGTTGTGGGGCCTGAACTCTGGGCCTGGGCGCTGTCCCTCAGCTCTTCAGCTCAAGGCTAGCGCTCTACCACTTGAGCCATAGCGCCACTTCCCGCTTTTTTTCTTTTTGCTTATATGGTGCTGAGGAATCGAACCCAGGGCCTCAGGCTTGCAAGGCAAGAGCTCTACCACTGAGCCACCTTCCCAGCCCCTATTTGCTGAATTTCAATATCTGATTATTCCTTTTAATCCTAATTTCCTACTGTATGTGTCACCTATACTTCTTTTGAAGGCAATTTACTTCACATGCTTCTACAACTATGATAGCCCTGATACCCCTTTCCTAACCCCAATGATCCTTGTCCCTTTCTTGGTGCCTTTGTCCTACTAATGTGTTCTTTACCAATATTAGTTCTGGCTAATCCTTGTCAGCCTAAACTTTGTGTGTATGCCTCTGTGTGTGTGTGTGTGTGTGTGTGTGTGTGTGTGTGTGTGTGTGTGTGCACTGAAGTTGTTTCCCTTTTTGTACAATTCTGTGGGGACAACCTCAACACATTGCACTCTAACTTCAACAGCCTGAGATCTTCTTTCTCTTAGCATAATGTAGATATGCTTTCCATATTTTGGATCTCAACACTTTGAGCTACATTCTACCTTATCCTTTTGTTTTATTCCTTGGATTATTTTCAGAACCTGGTTGCCTCCCATGCTCTAAACAAAATCATTAAATATTGCTTTCTGTTTGGAACAAAATTTAAAAATATAAGTGATATAAGTATATGCAAGTTTTCTTGGAACAATTGGATTAAATGATACAATTAAATTTATGATGTAGAGAACATCTCATTCCTTGACTTATGTATAATCTTTAAGTAAAGATAAATAGGATTCATGGAGTCAGTCATCCATGCATTTAAGAGATAAATAACATAAAAATGCCATATGACAGAGCTAAAAAGAACCAGAGGATCTGCAGAGGTGGGAAGAAAATGGTTTTGTGATGTTGGATATTCTAGAAAGAGGTGATAGGAAAGAGTATTCAGAAGTGGAGGGCAACATCCACACATCTGGAGATGACAAGAACAAATGACAATGTTTGAGCTCCTATATATAGATCGTGACACTGTGTTTCATGTAATTATAATTTTCTCTATTTTATACTTCTATCTATAGGGACATGTCTGTGGATATCTATGAATTATCTGTTTATCAGTCTATGTATCGTCTATTTATCTGACTTTCTATGCATCTTTCTGAAGCATGTCTCTTTGTTTATCTATCTGCTTAGATCTCATTTGCCACTTACTGCTTGTGATAATGATTTATTACACAGAGAGCATCAGACATTGAGAAAGAAAAGGGAATCTCTTTGGTCTCAGCAATAGTCACAGTTCCCAAATTCAGCAGAACTACTTAAATTTCTTAACATTTTCCTCATATGATTCCATAATAAAATGTCTTAGATTTTTAAAGTTACCAAGAAAGGATGCCAGGACCCATGAATTGAGCAGAAGACACTACCCATAGGATGCTAGAGTGATTCTGCCCTGTGGTTCTCAGGACAAAAAAGGTCCTGTTAGGCAACTCTGTTCAATTCTGGCATGATCCAGATAGTCTGAAGACTCAGAACTCTTCTGGGCTGTATAAGATAAGATAGCCCTTTCTTTGCCCACTCCTATCTAGCTCCTGCTGATTTGTATGGGTCCAGAACACAGTCCTTTATCTTAAGAATTTCTGAAAAAGCTGCTTCTCTGTGCAAGAATCATTTTCAGTCACAACACATCATGGACCTGAGAGTCCCTGCTCAGTTCCAAGGGATCCTACTAATCTGGCTCCCGGGTAAGAAAGGACAGCAATGGGAATTTCATCAGCTCAATGTGGTCATGAAACATGAAACATGCATAATTTTGTGAATATTGGATTCTGTGTTTCTATGTCAGGGACCAGATATGACATCCTCCCTGCCTGTATCTCCATCCTCCCTGCCTGTATCTCAAGGAGATAAGTCACTATCACTTGCCAGGCAGTCAGGACATTAGCTAAAACTGACATTAGTATCTGAAGAAACCAGGGAATCCTCCAAGGCTCTTAATCACTTATTCATCCAATTTGTACTATGGGGTCCCATCGAAGTTCAATGGCAGTGGATCTGGGACAGATTATTTTCTCAGCATCAGCAGCCTAGAATCTAAAGATGACACCACTTATTAGTGTCAAGAAGAATATAAAAGGCTTTCCAGAGTGTTACAAGTCATCAAACCTTCCAGCAAAGCAGATGCCTGAGGCTAGGCTGCACCAGCTGCGCCCCCTGGTGTTTCTGTTATTCTCAGACACAGTCAGATGCTCAAGTTCAGTAAGTTGTTTTGCTAGAAGAACGTCTGTGAACTTCTGTTTTATTTAAACACCCTTTCCTTCTCTTCATCCCAGAAAGTCCTTCAGAACAAAGTCTCTTCTTACTCAAAGCAGATGTAGATCATTATTCCTCAGCAGTGTAGGTTATGACATTAGTTTGGATTTACTGGGCAAAGTAAAAGCCATTCTAGGTATTAGGAACAGCATTGTTGCTGTAGTTATTATTGTTCCTAGTAAAAGGTAATCAGAATTTAAACTACATTAAGCAACTAATTCACACATAATAATATTTTGTGGTTTCAGATATGATATTATGCTTCAATAAGATTTATATTGTATAATAAACAAATTAGTGCAATTGGCATATCAACAATCATAAGATCTCGTTTCTTTGTGGAGAATTTTTAAAGACCTGGGGGTTTGACAATCAAATATTACTGGAAATTGGAAATTCTTCCTTGTACCAGCCCATCTTCACAGGACCAAGAAATTGTAGATGAAAACTTCTAAAAAATGAGTTTAACTCTTTTCTCTTTTTGAGGTGATTATTTTAGTTATTTTATCAGAGTGATGGAAAGCTGACCAATATAATGGGTAGGTTAACTGGATTAGACTGAGAAATGTCAAAGAAATTAGCTCATTCTGAAGGGTTGTCCATGAGTGTTTTTCTAGATCTATCATGTGGGCTCTGCCACAATGACTAGATTCATCACTTGAAAGGTTGACAGTGAAGGAATATTACTGGCATGTTGTAAAAGCATGGTATGGGCTTAGATGGAGGAACTACACCACCAGTAGACATGACCTTGGGGCAATATCTTGCCCTGATCACTTCCTGTCTTCCCTGGCTTCTTATCTGCCCTGAGTTGCCTCACCATAGGCCAAGAAAGCTTAGAACAATAAACTTAAAGCTCTGAAACTATGAGTTGAAATAACATTTCCTTCCCATAAGTTGTTCCTGTCAGTTAGTTGGTTTTAGACAACAAACTTTATAAACATACCCATATCTACTGACTAGCAATCTATACTTTAAGCGGGTAACAAGGATCCAAAGAAGGTTCCAGAAACTCTGATTTAGGACAAATCTATTGTCACTAAGGAGATCTTAACTTACCAAAAATTGTTTAGGTACACAAATATTTACCCAGTGATCTCATGTCTCAAAAGAATAATGAATTTTAGAAATTTGAGAATATATAAGTTCTAAAGTTGCTAAAAAAATTGCTTATGATCCCAATGAACTCCCAAAAGGAAATAAAGGAATTAAATTTGATTCTACATTGGCAAAATTGTTATCAAAAAGCTTTCTTTTTTTTTTTTCAGTTTGGGGACTTGAACTCTGTGCTTGGGCGCTGTCTCTCAGCTCTTCAGCTCAAGGCTACCACTTGAGCCACAGCACCACTTCCAGTTTTCGGGTGGCTTATTGGAGATAAGAGTCTCATGGTCTTTCCTGCCAGGGCTGGCTTTGAACCAGGATGCTCAGATCTCAGCCTCCTGAGTAGCTAGGATTACAGGCATGAGCCACAGGCACCTGGCTTCAAGAAGCTTTTTTCAAAGATATCTAGGGAATATTGGGGTATATGCCTATAATCATGACTACCAGGGAGGCAGTATGACAGTTCTAGCTGGATCAGTAGTCATTAAAAGCATGAATAGCTTACAGATATAACTGGTTAGGGTTGTGTTTTAGGGTTAAGTTTTAGGGTGGCTCATTGCACGCTATTTTTGTTACAAACCAATATATAACTATGTATATTTATAAAACAATGGGAAGCAGGAGAAATTTTTAAAAATCTACAAAAAACATGAATAAGCCTAATAAAATTTAATTCATTTATGAAAACATCTAAGGAACAGTTAGCACTAACATTACCCATGAGATACATATATAGAAAATGTAATGCACAATAATGTATAGTAATATATGAAAGAGCAAAAAAATGAGATTTACAGGTATAATACAGTTCCTTCCAATAGTCTGGAATCTCTTTTGAAATGAAAGGGGAAGGAGGAGGAAGCCACAAAGTAGAATATTCACTCTGCTTCTGGCCTGACTTGTTATGGGTTCCACCACACTCTACCAACCTGGTAGACTAAAATTTCTAATCTATGAGCTGAAAAAAGGAATTCTATCCTTAAAGTTGCTTTTACTGAGGTCTTAGACACAGCAATGGAAATTTAGGTATCACATCCTTATAACTTAGGTTCTACCTTACCTCCTGAGCAATGATAGAAGATGGATGCTGCATTCAAAGTGATGGTGGCATCATCATAACTAGGTTCATAGGGACAGCTATTACTTGTAGTAGAAACTGTAATTTGTTAGGTAATAACAGATTGCTGTAGATTTTTTAAAAGTGGGAACTCAATGTGGGAAAATATGTATTAGTGAAGGAAAGTCATAAAGCAAGAGTAGAGCAAGACCCTCAACCCATAGCTTTGTCCACAGGCAGATGAGATGTGAAAGTAAGCACCACAGGAGAGCTGCAGGCCTGGTGGTGCAGGATCTAGGGAAGCACTCTCTGCAACTGAGTATAGAACCACAGTTAGCCAAGGCTTTCCCTACAGGCTCCATCTATTACTCCACTTCTACAATGGCTTTTAAAACTGTTGCCTGAAGACTTCTCAATAGTCTGCGAACAAATCCATATCCTACAAAAAATGCTTTGGTGCTGAGCACCCTTGATATCTGTAACTAAAAACAGTGCCCACTCCACCTGGAGAGCAACAAGCTCCATTTCTTCTAATTTTAATACTTTCCCAGAAGATTGGCTCCAGGAAGCCAACATTAGCAACCTTGTAAGTCATCAAGAGTCAAGCTAAACAAGCAGAGGAGTGCCATTTCTTCTCCCCAACTGCACCATTTCATGAAACAAATAGTGATGGATTTTCCTTTACCCCTTCTGCCTTCCACATGCAGTCAGTGATTCATATTTCACAGAATACCAGGAGTGACATACAGAGCTTCAGGTATCTCTCAGGGATCACTATTTACCATAGCCATGATATGAAAATAGCCTTTCAATGGATGAATGGATCAAGAAAATGTTGTATATATACACAATATAATTATACTCATTAATCAGAAAGAATGAAAATGTACCATTTTTAAGGACAAGGAAAGACCTGGAAAAAAATTATTGAACAGCTGGGCTCCAGTGGCTCAGACTGTAATCCTAGCCACTCAGAAAGCTGACATCTGAGGCTCATGGTTCAAAGCCAGCCTGGGCAGCAAATTCTGTGTGACTCTTATCTCCAATAAACCACTAGAAAACTGGAAGTGGCGCTGTGGCTCAAGTGGTAGAGCACTGGCCTTGAGCTGAAGAGCTCAGGGCAGTGCCCAAGCCCAGAGTTCAAGCCTCATGATTGACAAAAAATAAATTAATTAATTAAACAATGTAAGCCAGACCCAGGGAAGCATAGGTTGTATGTTTTCATTTGTTGTAGGTAGAAAATACCTATATAAATCTACTGTAAGTATGCCAGGTTTGGTTACAAATGACTTAACTGAAATTTAATAGACTTTATGCAAAGTTCAATAATTTTTAAAAAGATTAAGTCAAAGCTCAACAAAATAAGTACCAGGAAATGGGTACTTGCAAGAGGGGAGAGTTGGGCCAAGAGGAAAGGGATAGATGAATGAAGGGGAAAGGAGGAAGAAAGGAGAAAGGAGAAAAAATGAGGGAAGGAGTGTGTTGAATGGAGTGAAGATATTGAAGTGGTGACACATATCAACATGCATTGCACACATAAACTGTGTTGTTAAATGTCAAAAAACTAATACATAACATAAACTTAAGTAAGGAAGGGGTATGTGAGAATTTTGAAAGGGTGACACTGATCAAAATGCACTGTATTCATAAACTGCTTAGGTACATGGTAAACACTGTACAACTACTTAAAGATAATGAAAACATTAAAAAATAAATGATCATCAGGTTGCAAACCACAAAATAATATATTTGTATTTTACTTCTAGTAGACTAAAATGATAAACAGTGGCATCAACTTTTGATATCAGTTTTGTTGCTCTTGAAAATTACATATATGCTACTGTAAGCTTATATGCTTTAAGTGACATTGAATTTTGAATTTTCTGCTTTAAAATATTTAAATAATTTTGTTATTATTAAGGTGTTGTACAGAGTGTTACCAGTTTATAAGTCAGATAATGATTACATTTTTTCGGATACTGTCACCCCTTCCTTTACTTTCCCCCAGTTTCCCCACCCCTCATTCTTGCCCACAAATTACTAGGCCATTTTCCACAGAGTGTATACTGAATGACATGGTTGAATTTGTCATCCTTCCTCCCTCCTTCTCTCTCTTTCTGCACCCCAATTTACCTTCCCTACATTCTAAGTATTTTAGAGAAATAATCAGTTAACCAAACATTCCTGTTGTACAGACTCGGGACCCCGGAAAGACCACCAGAGACCACGACCAATGCAAACATCAAAAGAGTTGTTTATTTGCAAGCTCCAGCTTGGTCCTCCACGCACTCAGTAATTGGTGATGGTAAGAGGCCCCGAATACAAAATCAGTACAGCTTTTATAGCATTTAACAAACAAGTTTAGGGGATTTCCACACAAACAGTTACAGGATTGGTTAACATTTATAAAGATTGCAAAGTCATTTTTTATTAGTCCATGTACCGAGGTTTGAGTTCACCCTAACCGCACTGCCCTTATTCTGAACTATTGGTCCACGTTTCACGGTTTGATGTTTACAAAACTGTTAACGTTCTGTTCCTGGAACACTTGGGCAATTGTTCTGTTTCTTAAAGGTGGGCAGGGTTGATGGCAACCGAGAATTGTTTTTTTTCTCTCTCTTGGGGTTACTCTGAGGGCAGCCCAACACAAGATGGTGGAGTTAACCTCAAAATGGAGTTACTTTAGCTCTTCAATTCCCAGATTCTTTGTGTGCTGTTGTTATCAATGATATTTACCGTATATTATTTCCTATGGGTGGCTATGTTCATTTTATCTTCATTTTTAGATTTCTCGAGGTCATTATCCTATTCATCAGACTGGGAAAAAGTGGTCTTCACAGGGCTCAATTATGATTTCATCCATGGACAAAACTCTCACCTGTAATCAGAGCACTATGTTAAATGACATAAGTCAGGCTGACAAAGTCAAATATTGCATACTCTCCCTCATTTGTGGAACCTAAACCTACACTGATGGTGATATAAATATTAACAATAACAGGACATGAATGTAAAAGAGGAAACTATCTGAAGGGAGGTAGATGTGGCAAAAAGAAACAAAAGGATTCTAAGTTTAAAGATTAATTATAATATATAGTAAATATTTATACACACATGTACATGTGTATGATGATGGTCTTAAATACTATATGAAAAATCAGGGCTGGGAAGGTGGCTCAGTGGTAGAGTGCTTGCCTTGCATGCCTGAGGCCCTGGGTTCGATTCCTCAGCACCATATAAGCAAAAAGAAAAAAGCCGGAAGTGGCGCTGTGGCTCAAGTGATAGAGAGCTAGCCTTGAGCTGAAGAGCTGAGGGACAGCGCCCAGGCCCAGAGTTCAGGCCCCATGACTGGACCCCCCCCAAAAAAAATAAATAAAAATAAAAAACAACAACAAAAAAAAGAAAAATCGTAGGTGTGGGAGGGGAAAAGAGAATGGAAATACAAAGAGCTTGGTGACATTTTTCTTCACAGTACACTGTATTCAGGTATGGAATTATGAAATCACCTCATGGTGTCAATACATGACTTGGACATCATTAACTAAACAGCACTAACATTCATACAAAAGCGAAGGATCTTTTTAGGAGAGGATCACAAGAGATCAATAAATATGTGCATGTGATTATATTAAATGATGCCTATTGAAATTCATTTCTAGAAATGGAAACATAGTGTTTATATAGTACTGTTTGTGGGGATTTTTTTTGCTTTCCTTTTTTTCCTTTGATTGATTCCCTTTTATCACTGTATTTAATTTCTGTATATTTTGTTTTGTATATAAGTCTACCTGATTTGGGGAGAGAAAGGGGAAGTCCAGAAACAGTGGGACAAATGGTGAACCAAGACACAATTGAAATCTATTACACACTAAATTGGAATGAACTACACAACTTAGAGGGAAGAGAGACAACAGGCAAAAATCTGGATGAGAACGAAGAATGAGTGACACTTCAAAGTAATTGTACTCATGACCTGAATTGTGTAACTGTAACCCTTCTGTACGTCATCTTTACAATAAAATATTTTAATAATAAAATTTATCCAAATTCAAAGTAAATAAAATGGCATAATTATGCATATAAAATTACTGGGACTCTGCACAACTCTTGAGATAATCAAGTAACTTAACAAAACAAAACAAAACAAAACAAAAACTCCAAATGAATATCCTGCCAACTGCTATGTCAAAAAGCTGCTACATGATGGCAAAAGGATCTCACAAAGAGCAAAAAATAAACTATGGCCTTAGGAACCCTGGGAAAAAAGGGGCATTGCTACCCCTTTCTCAACAGGAGCTCCAAGCTAGAGCTCTCTGTCAGGTTTTGATGGCTCATGTGACAGCTGGGACCATGTTTATAGAGGAGGCTATGTCTCCTCATGTGCAAATTCCTATTTTATATTTTTTCTGTCAACTACAATTATACCTCACAAGAGTGACACACCAGGATTCTTGTAGTGAAGTCATTAAGTACATTTCAGAAAAGTGAGGGAAGGAGTGTGGAGCCCACAGATATGCAGCCCTAAAGGGAGCATGTGCATACATCATTTCCAGTTATGGGAGGTGAGAAGGGGCTGCACTATCAATGCTGTCCCCAGCAGGTCCCCAGGGTCCTCTGAAATGAGGAGGTCACTGCTTGTCCTCAAGGGCACAGACTGGGTCCTGAGCTTCATGATGCTCAGGCAAAGAGTGAAAAAGGGCTACTTACCTGGTGACCTGCCTATTGTTCTGCTGTATGTTTTCTCAGTATAAGAATTTAAAATAACCCAGGAGCCAGTGGCTCAGACCTGTAATCCTAGCTACTCAGGAGGCTGAGGTCTGAGGATTATGGTTCAAAGCCAACCCGGTCAAGAACATCCGTGAGACTCTTATCTCCAATTAACCACCAGAAAACCGGAAGTGGTGCTGTGGCTAAAGTGATGTAGTGCTCCCTTTGAGTGCTAACACAGACTCCAGTGGGTTTCAGACTGTCCTGAGGACCCTGCTGACTCTCTTCTTTATCCCAGCCCCTCAGAAGCATTGAGAATACCTCTGGAGCATGCTTCCCAGTCGGTCCTGCTCTGAAGTCTGGGTCTCTCAGACTTGCAAAGTGGTCCCAGATTTCCTTCCAGCTCATGTCGCAGGCTATAAACACGCTCCTTTCCTGTGTATACCTCTTGTACTGAGTGTAGGTGGAAAGGACTTCTGATCCCCACTTCCTCCTCATTTTTAACCTCATCTCTCAGCTAGTCAACTTCTTGCCTCCCAACCCTAGACAGTGTATGTGTGCCCACAGCTCTGGTTTGAGGCAATTGTTCCAAACTCTCCACGTTTTCCAGTGTCTAAAGTCTGTGTTGACTTGAAATTCACAAGTCATGTCCTGGAGCATAGATCAGGAGAATTTAATATGTTATCTTCAGAGCTTGGCTTCTTTCAACACCCTTGAGTAGTAGCTTTTGGTGTCTCTCTTCCTTATCCTATCAATATAGCCCTTACAATTTATCAGGTGTTTTTCACTCCTACACAGTATCCAGCTGCCATCTTTTTATTTGAACCAGATTTGTCTTTCAGTGCATGGTAGAGAAGTGAATCTGTACCAGAAAAGGTAGTAGGGGCTATTCAAGGGAACATATGATAAGATTAGAAGTGAAATTTTAGAGGAGTGGAGGGAATGGGTATAGCTTTTAGGTAGGATTATAAATCACCATAAAAGGAGGGAAGAAGAAAATTGTAAAAATCTTCCTGAAGCAGTTCTGTTAGCATATGCTACAGAGAGCAGATGGCCCAGTCCTCATCCCTGTCTGCATCTCTTGGAGACAGAGTTGCCATCACTTGCAGGGCCAGTCAGGGTATTAGCAATGATTTACATTGGTACCAGCAGAGAACAGGGAAAGCTCCAAAACTCCTGATCAGTTACACAACTACTTGGCAATCTGAGGTCCCATCAAGGTTCAGGGAGGTCAATCTGGAACAGATTTCACTCTCACCATCAGCAGCCTGCAGCCTGAAGATGTTGCTACTTATTACTGTCAACAGAGTAATAGTTACATTCCCACAGTAATACTAACAATAACATAAACCTCCAGGGAAGCAAAGGTGAGAGGCTGGGCTGCCCCATCTGCTTATCATGGTGCTTGCATCTGCTGATAGAGCTTTTCAGATGCAGCCAAACTTTGAAGGTCACTGGAAAGTATTGCATAGGCATCTCCACACCCTAACCCTCTGTCCTTCTGCTCATCCCAAGCAGCACACACCTGACAATGCCTCTTCTAACTTTATAAGAACACACATCTGTACTCCTGTGTGGTCCATATTGTGCTAAAATTCTGCAATCACTCAATGAAGAACTGATTCTAGGTATGTCAAAGCAGGTTTTTGAAAGGAAGACAATATGGCTTGTGAAAAATATTTTAAAAAATAATTTTGTAAAGAAAAATAGTCATTAAAAAGTTTGATTGCCATGGAATAATTGTATTTGAAGTAATATGATGTTAGGGTATATGTTCATATTGTACAGTGTGTTAATAATACAATTAGACAATCAGTCATCACTTAAAACACTTACCAAATTTTTTGTAGTCAGCAGATTTTCTTTTCTTCAGCACATGAGATCTTTTTTTTTTTGGCTTTCATAATTTTTAATATGTTTTGTCTTTTCTTTTTTGTACCAGGGATTTCAAGTAACATTTTTACAACACATCCAATGCTTTTAACTAGTTACCAAATATTAATTTATCTTGGATGCGGAATGTCAAATCGATCATTATTCTCCATGTGATTCTCTCATCCCATGACAATAAAAATGGAATGATTTTTTTTGAAACTTGAGGAAATATATTGGCAAAAAATAATAAAAAATTTGTAATTCTGCTTTGGAAACTGCAGATAGAATTTTTCTATTGTTTGACCTCAGATTATTAAAGCACACTTGATTTCTAGCCCAATTCAAATAAATCCACATATAGCTAAATAAAAATAGGCAATATGTGAATAAATAGAACATATTTAAGACATTTATAAACTATATACTAGGTACAGTTACATAGTGACATATATTACACCAATGTTTACCAGTTTAACCAGAAAAGGGTCTTCCATGTACCATGCAGATGTAATAAGAGCCACAAATTCATATTTAGTATTTATATATAGAACTATACATGGAAGAAAGGGGTTGAGTAGAGGGATGGGGTAGAAAAATGAAAGAGGTGACATTGATCAAGATACATCATATGTATAAACTATGTTTAATGGTCACTCTTTTATACAACCACCTATATATAATAAAAATATAATTAAAAACAAAAAATGTGTATGAAATTCTCATTTGTCATGACACTCATCTCTGTCTGTCAGACAGGATGTGGATGGACAGGGTTGAATCTCATCTGATTCAGAAAATCCACAATAAAGCAGAGAGGGAGAGGACTGCTGGGAAATGACCTTCCTGAAGAGACTGTGATGACAGGAGCTCACAACTAATTGCCCAAGACCATATTCGCACATGCTTCTTCCTATCAGCAGCTTGTAACCATAGCCAGTTACACTCAGTCTCAGTCCATGGAAAATGAATATTTGCATGACATATGTAAAAGACACTTCTCAAGCAAAACTTCTTGACATATAAGAAGCAACATAACTGAACATGGATGCAATATTATTTTTGTCAGCATCACTCAGAGCATGTTAAAAACACAAAATTACAAAATGACCTCAGATGTACTGATTTTGAATCTGCATTTCACCAAGTTAACAAATGATCCCTGTAAGGTTTAGGAAGTTGTATTAAAATGAGTATCAGAGATAGAGATTTACTTTTTATACACCAGTCTATTTAAGAGTATTTCTATTTAAACCACTTCTCTCATACCCTCCTCTCTCCCCTCTCTTTCCCCTTTCTCTCTCAATCTCTCTCTCTCTCTCTTACTCTCTCTGTCTCTCACACATATACACACACACATACACAGATCTTTGTCAATCATTTACTAAAACAAAGTTATTGGCACAAATTCTGAATAAAGAAGAGTGTTGCTTAACGCACAGTGTTAGAAATAAAAGTCCACGATATAGTATCCTCATCTGTCTGTGCTCAGGTAAGGCCTGTCCTGTCGTGCTAAAATAGTGTTAGTAAAGAGGGAACAAGCTGCAGATGAGATGGTCAAGCATATAGTTGTGGTTACTTTATAACAAATGAGTATTATGAGAACTGACTCAATCCATGAGAGCAGCTTTAATCCTCCTGATGGCAGGAAATCTGACAGCCTGCTCACTTCCCATAAGGCATCACTGCTCAAGGCCAAGTGGGGTCCATTGAGCCATCAGCACATCTCTTTCTCCATGTGCACCTTCTTCACAAGCACAGAGATTTTGGAGACAAGAAGTAGAGACAGAGCATCTGACACAAATAAACAAAGACTAATTAACTAGATTGGTACTGCAGACATTTAAAGATTTTATATTAATTAAAGGTACTGAGAAATATATTTATACAAACATGTATTAATATAATTATCTTGAAGTAGTCACATTAGTACACTTCAACTCAACATCTCCATGTATGAGTATAATACATCTTGATTGAATTCAAACTTCTATTACATTCCAGGTAGGATTTTTAAGAAATAGGTTGATTAATTAATTAAATATAGTACAGGATATTGTTGTATCAAAATGGTTACATTGAATATACATATATATGAATATATATTCACACTTTCATGCATAAATATTTCTGTCATATTTTTCATTTTAAGACAATTTGGTCATTACCTATAAGAGAAAAAATTGCTCTCCCTGTCAATTTTTTTGCCCTAAGTCTTAACAGGAATTTCCTATGGAAACAGACTTTCTAACACTTGTAGCTAAAATACCTGAACAGATCATCTGGTAACTATGGATATCAGATGCCTCTTCATCTACTCAACTCTCTGCTCTTAGTGGTCAATTCCCTTGAGGATCACTGAGGAAAGAGGGTACTGTGCCTTTCCCTATACTAGCTGAGGAGATTCATGGGAGCTAAGGCATGATATCTATTCATTTCCTAGAGATGATCCTGGACATAAGCCTGCCTACCATTGGGTACTGATACTGTTCTATGGGGTGAGAGCATGTGCACCCTATACTTCTTGGAGAAACAGAACTTTTACAGTGGGATCCTTCTTTCCAGTGCTGCAGAAACCATGTAATTTTTTTTTTTGGTTATTACCAAACACTGAACACTTCTGTTGTCACTTTTCTTAGAAGAGCAGGCTTTATCCTCCATTTTTCTTTCCTCACACTGTTGCCCCCACCTGGCTATTTGCATATTGCTCCCTAAGGAGGACCTTCCTTTCTAAGTCTGAAATAAAGGCTCAGCTATGATCTTGCCTTGACCTGTCTAGACTCCTCATTTCACTCCTAAAAATGAAGTCCTTGTCTCAGTTCCTGTGGCTGTTAATGCTCTGGAACCCTGGTAAGAGCAATGGAGATGAGGAATGAGAGTGGGTGGGAGGGTGAGCTCTTAGCACCCCTGGTGCCCAATCCACGTTTTAGACGTGCAGGTCTTGTTATCCATGATGGGGCAAATGGAGAAAAGGTCTTAGATAGTCAGAAACGTTCCAGAAAGTGCTAGAACATATGCTTGGATACATATTCTGCTGGTTGAGAAGACTGTTGGTGATTCCTAGAGACTCATTTATGGTTTAAAATGTCTGATCTTTAATTTTTGCTATTTTTACATTCTGAATCAAGGCATGATATGAATAAAATGCAATATATATCAAAATATAAGTAATACATGCGTGTCTGTCTATAGTTGTGAATAACCTTGCATTTCTTCTTATTCTAATTTCAGGATCCAGTGGAAATGTTGTGATGACCCAGACTCCAAGTTCCCTGTCTGTCACACTGGGAGAGTCGGCCTCCATCTCCTGCAAGTCTAGTCATAACCTTCTGTATGAGGATGGACACATCTACCTCGATTGGTTCCTGCAGAAGCCAGGCCAGATTCCACAACTCTTGACCTATAAGGCTTCCAACAGAGCATCTGGGGTCCCGGTCAGATTCAGTGGCAGTGGGTCAGGCACAGATTTCATACTGAAAATCAGCAGGGTAGAGGCTGAGGATATTGGAGTTTATTACTGCTTGCAACGCACACATTATCCTCACACAGTGATACAGCCTTGAACTAAAACCTCCCTTCTGACTAGGGCAGCTGTGCTCATGCATTGGTGCTCTGGAGAGCAGCTGAGCATACTGTCTCAGGCACTATGTCAGTGTGAGAGTGACTCTGAGTGGAGGCAAAAAGTCTGTGCCAATGAGACAACATACAATCTACAACGACCAGGAGAGTAATCATGCAAGCACAGAAAACAGGAGATATCAGATAAATCTAGTTGTTTGTGTGGTACTGAGGTTTGAACTAATGACTTCACAAGTTCTCTTCCATTTCTGCTACACATCCAGACTTTTACTTCTTGTTGTTTTGTTTGTTGGTTTTTGTTTTTTCAGGTCAGTTTCTGTGGTTTGTTTGTCTGGGTCACAAATCCAGTCTTTAATTCACTCACTGCATTTTTCTCCTGTTTGACACTAAAAGAGATGGCTGACATAGGAACATGCATGTTCACAGAGAAGTGTAATGTGAGTAGACTTCAGATCATAGGAGAGAAAATACCTTGGCTTTTGAAGAAGAACATTTTGGGATAAGAAGGATAGAGTCATTGGAACTGGGGTGAGGTGGAATCTCAATGTTGTTTTGATTTGCATTTCTTTTATGGCCAGAGGAATTGAGCATTTCTTCATGTGTCTATTGGCCATTCTTATTTCCTCTTCAGAGAAGTCTCTCTTTAAGTTGTTAGCCCACTCATTAATGGGTATGTTGTTTCTTTCAAGATTTGTTGTTAGGGG